TAGACAGCTCCAGGCTACTTTCCGGTTTCTCGTTATCTTCTTCTTACCACTGCTTCTGATCTTTTCCCTCATCTTTTTCCTTGTGCAGCTGCTGCCATGTGCCTTCCTTTAGTCTCCTATCGCAGAGTGGTGTGGGGGCCCTTTTCGTCTCATATAAGATATGCATAGCGACACACATCGACACAACGACGCAAGAATATAACGCTACTTCACTACAAAATTGTCAGCCAACTCGCGAGGGTGATACACTTGCAACCATTGTCACGGTTCATGGCCTCTTACCCTATTCAGGACTAGTATAGTTTGTCAGCACACACCTAGATAGAATGTCTGTAGCTTCCTACAATACAACCCCAGTACAATCTTCAACTTCTTCCCCAATCCGCGACAACCATCGTTCATCCAATCATGTTGTGGTCAATGCTGCCCATGAAAGCGACCTTTACCGTCTCTACTATTTGCGAAGTCATTCGCATACTTGGAAATGCTCGTATGTGGTCGCTGTTCATACATGTTTGAATCTACCTGCCTGAACCGGCACCGTCGTGGCATAAAAACGTTTCCGATGCGCACCTGGCGGGTACTACAAGCATACATTCTCGTCTTTTAAGCCCTACATGCAATACCTACTATACTAGATGCAATAAGGCTTCGTAAATATAGAGGTAGACTATTTACCTGTCGCTAAAAAACCCTAGGTTGTCAACAGGATCGCCTGAATTCTATTTTATCGGCATGCTGGTCACCTACTGCCAAGAAATTCACCATGCGGTGGTTGGTCAGCCCCATGACGGCTAATTTTTAGACAGCATTTACTACCGCCCCAGTGCAACCCCGCAGATTGGCAACAACTCCGAGGTACAACTGCTATCATCCGGTTGTCATCGTTCCCGGCGGCGTCAAAGGTCAACAGCCCGTGTCTCCTACGGGATCGGGTATAGCATCTCTTATCCACCTTCCTAACCCGGCAGGACCGCGCCCGACAATCAGGCATCTGGAGCTACCCTGGTACAGTGCAGGAGCTATGGCATCATCGTAGTTATTGCTCAATTGTACTTTAGGGCCCTCACGCAGCAATTTTTGGCGGCTTGTCAGGCCTGTGGTCGAGTTCGAAGCCATGCATTTTTCCACCACCATCGCGAGCTTTGTGTTCGCTCTCGAGGCGGCCGCGATCCCATTTGGGCACTTGACTGGTGGCCAGCTGAGCGCTGTGAGTTGGATTTCGTAAGAGGAAGAATGCAACTGACAGTCGGAAGGCGCAGGTAGCGAAGAAATGGCAGTCGCTCGCAAAGCGTGATGAAGCCGCCCCTGCATACCCAGCATACAATCTCTCCGTCCCAATCGACTTCTTCCCCGACGACAAGCGATACGAGCCTCATTCGAATGGAACCTTCAACTTGAGATACTGGGTCGATGACACCTACTACAAGCCTGGCGGCCCCGTATTTGTCCTGCTTTCCGGGGAAACCTCTGGAGAAAACCGGCTGCCTTTCATGGCGACGGGTATCTCTAACCAGGTGGCGCAGGCTACCGCCGGCCTGTCAGTCATTCTTGAACATCGCTACTACGGCACCAGCTTCCCGTTCCCCGATGCCTCGACCAAGAACCTGCGCTTTCTGTCGACCGAGCAGGCGTTGGCTGAGATCGATTACTTTGCAAGGCACGTCAAGTTCGAGGGTATCGCTGAGGATCTGACTGCTCCGAACGCGCCTTGGATTGTGTATGGAGGCTCTTATGCTGGAGCTCAGGCCGCATTCTTGCGTGTTGTGTACCCGGACACGTTCTGGGGCGCCATCTCGTCCTCTGGTGTTACCACCGCTATATATGATTACTGGGAGTACTATGAGCCGATTAGACAATTCGCTCCTCCGGACTGTGTCCGCAACACCCAGACTATGGTTGATGTTGTCGATAGCATACTCTTGCACGACGATCAAAAGGACAAGGTCGCACGTCTACAGGAAGCTTTCGGTCTTGGGCAAATCACAGACAAGAGAGACTTTGCCAACGTTCTCACATCGGGAATCACTGGATGGCAAAGCACCAAGTGAGTTGTTGATGTGTTGCAAGGTTACTACATCTAATCATTGCTGCAGCTGGGATCCCGAACTCAACTCTCCATCCTTCTTCTAGTAAGCATGAGTAGCCATCGCGGTGATCTTTCTGACTTTCTACAGCTACTGCGGCAACTTGACTGGAACCGTCAACTACGACAACGTGGAACACCTCCGGCCAACCGTCAAAGAACTCGTCTCCGTAGGTGGCTACGTGAACGACTCGCTCGTCGAGAACATCACTCTCAACGCCATCGGCTACTTTGGCCGCACCTCCGTCGCAGCCTGGAACGAGTCGGGCGAAACCCAAGACGCCTTCTTCAGCGTACTCAACGACACCTTTTGGCAAGACACCAGCCTCGTCGCGGCCGAGGCCTGGCGCAGCTGGTCCTACCAAGTCTGCACCGAGTGGGGCTACATCCAGACCGGCAGCACGCCCGCCGACATCAAGCCGCTGATCTCGCGGACCCTGGATCTCGAGTACCTGACCTACTTCTGCCGGTCCGCCTTCAACATCACCCAGCCGCCGGATCTGTGGCAAGTCAACAAGTACGGGAACTACAGCATCGAGTATTCGCGGCTTGCAATCATTGGCGGCAACGCCGACCCGTGGCGGCCAGCCACTCCGCTCGCGAACGGGTCCAGCACGCGCGTGTCGTCGACGGACAAGCCGTGGCTCGAAATTGCGCATGGCGTGCATCACTGGGAGGAAAACGGCGTGCCCGCCAATGAGACGACGCCGATCTTCCCGCCCGCTCAGGTCGTGTATGCGCAGCAGTTCGTGAAGAATTTCGTAATTGATTGGGTCAAAGGTATGTGGAGCTGATCATCCTGTGAGCTGCGCAGGTGCTGACTGACTGTGTGTAGAGTTCAACGACCAGTTCCGTCTGGAGCTATAGATTTGGGATTGGGTAAAGTCCGCGATTAGAGGTTTACGAACTGTAATGAGTGACGTTGGAGGGCGACCTAGACCATCGTTTGAATAATGCATAATTTTGAGGTACACCTATGTATCAATCCTGAATGTGATTATTCGTGTACGATGTCTGCTTATTGCTGAATCTTAGAAGACGGTTGAACTGGAGTAGTTCTGCTTCCTGACGAGCCTTCGGCGAAGGGAAAGGCTGCACTGAACTGGGCTATCGTCTGCGGTGTTGTACCTTCCTGACGAGGAACCTTTGAGGATGGTGGAGCTGACGTCGGGCGAGCCTTTAGTAACGGGACTAGCTGCCTGAACGAGCTGTAGTCTGCGATTCTGTATCTTCATGTCGAGAGACGCTTTACAATAAACCGAACTTCCATGCCGGGTCCATCATTGATGACATCACCTCATAGCCATCTTCCTCGCCGTCGCCCTCGCTCCCTGTAAGGAATATTCCTGTCGCCACCGAACCCAGCGTAATCGTCGACACAGATTGGATTTCTCTGGCGCGGAGTTACCGTCCGGGCGGGTAGATGTGTCGCTCCCTCGCAACGGACGTCTCCATCATCTGAGCCAAGGCAGATTGGCACAGTCTGCGTTCCAAGAAAAGGCTTTCTTAAACTCAGCGTACCTTAAACAGGGCAAGGTCTCTTATTACTAGCTCGCAGCATCAGACCACCAGGACTTGCCAGTGTCCAGGTAGAGCAATGAGACGAAGCATCCAGTAGCAGAGAAGAATCCAGTGGCAGAGAGGGTCTGATAGCAGAGAGGATTTCGATGGTAGAGACGACTTCGAAGGCAAAGAACCAGACAAGGGCGGCGGTCGAATTTAAGTACGCGCCATGGTGTATGGGCTGCTGGCATTATGAAGGCGTCGCGAAGACGGCTCTCCAGGCTCTCATCGCTGCTGATACGCTCGCCGTGCTCTCTCCAGACTCTCATCGCTGCTGGTACGCTCGTCGTGCTCTCTCCAGGCTCTCATCCTGCTGGTACGCTCGTCGTGCTCTATCTTCAGGCTAGTCTCCAGCCTCTCGTCTCCGAGTTTGCGTTCATTGGATTCTTGTGTCAGCTCAGAGTGGAGTGTGTTATATGTCTCTCGAATAGGAAGGTTGTCAATGCGTTCCGAATCGCTCTATAAAACAACCTCGTGGAGAAGATCGAGTAGTACTATGTGTAATAGCTGGAAGAACTAGAAGAACACTGGCTGCCGAGTCTTGGCCCCAGCATTGGAGGCGGAGCTCCCGAGCTTGGCCCTGGCATTGGAGGCGGAGCCCCCCTGGAACCGAGTAAAGTAAAGTGTGATATCGAAAGCTTGTGATGCAAACTCTGAATTATACTGAGATCTTTCGAATGGATTAGATAGGGGTTGCATCCATATAAGTAGAATACCTTGTCCTAGAGGACTAACAAGCAGGAAGAGAGGTTTGGAGATTTGTTGGGCCTATTCTTTTAATGCCTGTGGGTTATTCGAACGGGACGTATGGTGAATGTGTGTGGAGCCCGATGACTTGCGAGCCGAATAGGGAGTGCAGAATGTTGTATAAGAATTAGAAGTGCGCAAAATTGTCTGGTGCATATGTAGCGAGAATAATACAGGAAGTAGTGAGGCTGTACCTTATATAACTTAATTATACTCAGCTGCATCTGATGGAACGAATACAAAAGTAATAACAGTAGTTATGTATAACTACGTGGGTCATAACTCATAAACGTGAATGCCCGTGAATTGTCGATTTCGAATGCATATATACCGATAGACATTTGTGGCGTAGCGAGCAGACCTGTTTGGTACACGCTGTGGTATTGTAGGTGTTCTGTACGTTGATGCCCTTGTGGAATGTGTGTCTTTCCAGGCGATGAGAGGTCGATTAATTACTCGAGTCAGTCGGCGAACGGAGTGGATACCTGAAGCTAGCCTGACGCTAGCCTGACGCTAACCCGGTTTGCCGCTCAGGCTGCCCAAGTGCCTTTTACTACTGTATAATTATTTTCTAAAGAGAGAAACACTCATAAATCAAGATGAAGTCACTTTGGCCGAGTGGTCTAAGGCGCCAGCTTCAGGATATGATTACATAATTCTGCTGGTCTTCGAAAGAAGGCGTGGGTTCAAGTCCCACAGGTGACATTTTTTTTTCAAAAGTGATATACGTTGGGTAGCAGGTAAGGTAATAATACCCTTAGGCTTCTAAAAAAAACCCCAGCTAATTATATATTTTTGCCTGTGTTTTTGCTACTTCAGAAAGATTTTGCGGGGAAACTATTAGGCCCCAGTATTCTCATAACTTCTCGTTCGTAATCCGCAAACGATAGCGTCAGACCGCCAGCACCCCTGATCGATACCAGCAACTTCCTGCAGCGGATTCATATCCTCCATCTCGCCAGCGGGATCTCGACTGCAACCAACTGTGTTGGATCACTAGCCCAACCCGATCGACAGCGACAGCTTCCCGCTAGGCATGACCGTCTCCAGTGCCTTCCAACAATATCTTCGGGAACCCCTCCATTGTGGTCCCACACCCTCACGCCTACGCACTCATCCTCAATTTCGTTACACCACACACATGAGCGTACGTCGACGCCAGGCATACAACCCAGCATATCTAGTCAGACGTGGAGCGCAGAGCGCGGCTCATATTCTCAGAGGGTCATCCGCAACCGTGAACAGCGCTAACCCCATTTGCTTCTGGAACCACTACCTATACCTAAATCTACCCAATCCACCGAAACGCACGCGCGTCGACTTCGATTAGGACTACAACACAAAGCACAGGGCGCGACCAGACTGCGCTCTCCGTCGTCTATGGCTCTCCTCATCTGCGGTCCTTGTATGGCTCGCACGTAACGCCAGCGATACATAAAGCCACGTCAACTTACATACCCCAGAGTGAGGCTCCTGTTGGTGTCCATGGAGCGCGTGCACCGCGTACCTCGTACATCACCATTTGCGCGGCTCTCGGATGTTGCTCACCAGCGCTTTCATGCCACCCACACCTACATCCAAGAAGACCAGCGAGACACGAAGTCTAGTCACCCAATTTGCCTCCACCCATTTTCGCAGAGCGCAGAGCGTCCCGTACACAATAAGATATAGGCATATGGGCTCACCTTACCCAGCATCATCAGTTTGCGGCTTCCTCACAGGATGGCACCACACCCCGATGCCCGCATTGCCGCGAACGCACCTCCTCGAGCATCGTGTTCAGATCATAACGCTAGCATAGGATATTTGGGTATGTCTAGAGCGTTCATACGATATCTCATCTAAACACACTACACAGTTCGCTCTCTCCCGCCTTCCAGTCTTCCCGTTTTCGAGCCATCCTAGAACTAGAACGCTATCACGCTGCGGGCATCCGACAATAACCAACATGAACACCGACCTGCTAAGAAGGGGACTCAATAGCGGCAATATGTGCCAACGACTAGGATAGTCTGGACATGCCGCATCATATGCGTGCAAATGAGTGGTGTTGGTTCAGAGAGAGTGTGTCATTGGACAAGAGTGAGGTTGCATTATATAGGGAGTTGGGCAACGCCAACTACACACCAAAGCCGAAATCCAAGTCCTCTAGACCAAAAACAGCTGAACTGTAAGAATTCACCTACGTGAGCTGCGGCCTTCCCTTCCCTGTCAAAGTCCAGGCCTCAAACAACCTGGAGAGGGCCTCAAGCAACCCAGAGAGCGCCTCAACCAAAAACAGCCGAACTGAAAGAATTCACCTACGTGTGCTGCGACCTCTCCTTCCCCATCAAAGTCCCAGGCCTCGAGCAACCCGGAGAGCGCCTCAACGTGCGTTTCGCGAACGCAGTGAGAAGGTCTTATACTCAGGAGTCGTCTCAATGAACCATGGTTCTGAGAGGCTCCACAAAACGAACACCCACTCAGCTCACGCTGGAAACAAATGAACCCTCCACCGCAAGCTTTCGCAAAGTTCAAAATTTCTCTGATATTGGAGCAGACAAGAGCTATGGTGGATCGTTGAAGACAACCAGGGCGATGATGATACCAATCCCACCGCACTGCTCGGAGAATTGGAGCATGGCCCGTTGCTCATCTCCGGCGGTCTGACCCTACCTCGTAATACAGCATCACCCGCAGCCCGCCGGACCTCGCCCAACTCCGTAATCGACTCTGCCGGAACGAATACGTCGTCATCCAGAATCAATGGCTACCACGCCCGCAATGCCTCTCTCTACGAAGCCCGCAACGACTTTCCCGGTGTCCACGGCGCTCGCGACGCCTCACATTTAAGGCCCTTCACGTCCTGCACCATACCTTTCACTGTTTATCGATTCGCCCCAGCGCGTCATGCAGAGCCACTCCGTCAGTCACAAGGTCTCACGATGCCGTTTGCCTACGAAATCCGTTGGCTATGCCCCTGTACGAGCCGTGGGGGAAATTTCGACTCACAGAGCCTACTTTAATGTCATGTTGTTACGATATACCAGCTTGCTACTGTGATGATTGTGTAAGAGGATATAATAGAAGATAGGAGCTTCAGATCCTGTAAGTTTGAGCTTCGCAAAAACTTTCTCTATATATATCTGTTCGCCTCCAAAATTTAACGACTTATAGTCCCGTATACATGCCATTTGGGTTGCAATAACATCATGTCGATTTTTACGTTTTGGCAACCCACGCAGCAGAATGCCATACTCCTAGTGGATTCCCAGTTCACAACCCTAATCCCGGGCGTTTACTCTTTGGCTGGATGTTACGAATTACCAGCCTAGTACCTAGAAGTTTGAAAGAACAGCCAGGTTTATATAAAGATACAACAAAAAGTCGCCAAGAAGATCCCCCCCCATGGTGCGGAGCTAGTACTCCTGTGTAAGCTCAAACCAAATAGCGTAGTCAAAGAGGTTTTCTCTGCTCGGATTGGTCGTCGGCTTACTCAGGGTCATATATAATCTAGATGTGAAGCAGCCGAGCGGGCAAGTCACACGAGCATCATTACCATGTTTTTTGGCCACGTACGTGGCTGGGTCCTGGGAATCTCTTTTTTGCTATCTGAGTGCGCCCAAGGTTGATATCTGAGGTTTTGGGTCCGAGCGCGGTTAAGCGAGCGCGGGACTACGCTGAGCCGGCCTTGACTATCTCTACCCACCCTCACACTTCTATCACAACACTACCTTGTGCTGGATACGATGGAAGACTGCAGCTTTTTTTACAGTTCCATACCGCCACCACTATGAGAACTCAGAAGCATTAGAGGCCGTCGACCTGGAGAGTAGCCTGATTCGCAGGATGCCTCGGCTCGACACCTGCGGGCGGGCAATCCGGACGCATTCAGGCCTCCAAGAGCTGACATCTCCGCAACCCCACCCTCACTTCATGCGCGGCCATTTGCGACAAGCCATATTTGTGGTATCAGATCTCATGTTCATCACCTACCTACTACACTGCCACCCGCGGCCCTCATGAAGACCGGCCTGCACTTGGTTCAGCGCGCGGCCTCGAGCTCCGCATAGAGCCTGCATAGTACCCGCATACCATCTTGTTCGCGGCTGGAGCGTTCAAGATGAGGCTCGTTCGCATGGCTTTAGGAACGCGACTCGTGAGAGTCTTTGCGCTGGTACTGGCACTTTCTCCGTTCCTTGCATCGGCGCGGGAGAGCGACCAGCAGCCCTTAGCGGGTAAGTGACACGACACCTCCACTCTTCACAGCAACGTGCTAACAGTCTCAATAGACCCAGCCTACACACCCGAAAAGCAGGATGACCTCCGCTCTCTCAACCCCTCTCCTTACTCTCCGGATGCACCGCACGATGCGGCTCCTACCAGCGCATGCGCCCTCACCCACGTTGCCACCGCGAACAGCCCCGGCAAACTCCACGATGCGATCTCGACCATGCAGACCGAATACTTCGCGCTCTGGCTCGGAAAATGGACAACGGCCGTAGACTGGACAGCCGCCGTCATGAACACGTATCTAACAGGCGTGCTCTCCGCACTCTCCGGGACCTCCGACCGCTCACGGACCCTCGACAGCGAGGCGCAAAAGGTCGAGAACGAGATAAACAAATACTTCAGCCAGAGCACAACGTATTTCTTCGGTGAAGACATCTTCGCAATCCGCAATCAAGCGTTCGATGACATGCTGTGGGTAGTGCTGGGGTGGCTGGACAGTATAAAGTTTATCGAGGCGCATACGGGGCGACATTTCCCAAGAGCAACGGAGCAAGATGAAGGGGATTGGCATGGAACGCAGTTTATACCGGTGTTTTCGCACCGCGCGCGTGTGTTTTATGAGTTAGCAGAGGAAGGCTGGGGCGAGAAACTCTGTGGCGGCGGCATGGTCTGGAATCCACGGCTCCTGCCGTATAAGAACGCGATCACGAACGAGCTATTCATATCCGCGAGTGTGGAGATGTATCTGCATTTCCCGGGCGACAACAACTCGTCGCCGTTCATGGTAGCGGCAAAGGGCAACGAGGGGTCCTCCACATACGACGCGAAATTCCTGACCAACGCGGTCGCCGGCTACGACTGGCTCAAGAACAGCAACATGACCAACGAGCAAGGTCTTTACGTCGACGGATTCCACATCAAAGACCACGCCCACAACCGCAGTAAAACCGAGTGCGACGAGCGCAACGAGATGGTGTACTCATACAATCAAGGCGTCGTTCTGACCGGTCTGCGCGGCCTCTGGGAAGCTACTGGAAACCTAACATACCTCCTCGACGGGCACGAGTTGATCCGCAACGTCATGCACGCTACAGGCTGGACCTCGTCGTCGACCTCCTCCCCTATCACTTCATCAACTTGGTCTGGCCTCGGCGCAGACGGCATTCTCACCGAACTCTGCGACCCTGCCGGTGCCTGCAGCCAAGACGGGCAAACTTTCAAAGGCATATTCTTCCACCACCTCGTCGCGTTCTGTGCGCCCTTACCAGCAACGCCTGTGCAGCGCGGTAAGACGTTTGCTGCGGGCCGTGAACTGAGGGTCTTGCATCGGCGCTCGTGTAATGGGTATTTGAAGTGGGTAGTGCATAACGCTGGAGCGGCGTGGAGCACAAGAGATGAGAAGGGCAGGTTTGGCGCGTGGTGGGGCGTGGGCGGAGAGGCCGGCCTGAGGGATGCTGCGCTCCTTCCACAGGGAGCCGTGGACTACCGGAATA